TTTTTTAGGCTCCTCTCCTCATTTTCATTTTTTTAGGCTCCTCTCTTGCTTTTTTGTTCTCTTCGTCTCCTCTCCTGATTTTATTATTTTTAGGCTCCTCTCCTGATTTCAATTTTTTTAGCCCCCTCTCCTGATTTTATTTTTTTTAGGCTCCTCTCCTGATTTCAAATTTTTTATGCTTTTCTCCTGAGTTTATTCTCTTAGTCTCCTCTTCTGATTTTTATTCTCTTCGTCTCCTCTCCTGGTTTTAATTTTTTTAGTCTCCTCTCCTGATTTTAATTTTTTTTGGCTCCTCTCCTGATTTTTTTCTCTCTGTCTCCTCTCCTGATTTTAATTCTTTTAGGCTCCTCTCCTGATTTTAGTTTTCTTAGACTCCTCTCCTGATTTTAGTTTTCTTAGACTCCTCTCCTGGTTTTAATTTTTTTAGGCTTCTCTCCTATTTCAATTTTTTAGTCTCCTCTCCTGATTTCATTCTCTTAGTCTCCTCTCCTCATTTTAATTTTTTTAGGCTCCTTTCCTGATTTTAGTTCTCTTAGGCTCCTCTCCTGGTTTTAATTTTTTTTTGCTCCTCTCCTGAGTTGAATTTTTTTAGGCTCCTCTCCTGATTTTTATTCCATTAGTCTCCTCTCCGGATTGTAGTTCTCTTAGTCTCCTCTCCTGATTTTAATTTTTTTTAGTCTCCTCTCCTGATTTTTATTCTCTTAGTCTCCTCTCGTGATTTTAGTTTTTTTAGGCTCCTCTCCTGATCTTAATTTTTTTCGGCTCCTCTCCTGATTGCAATTTTTTTACGCTCCTCTCCTGATTTTAGTTCTCTTAAGCTCCTCTCTAGATTTTAATTTTTCAGGCTCCTCTCCTGATTCTATTTTTTTTTAGGCTCGTCTCCTGATTTTATTCTCTTAGCCCCCTCTCCTTATTCTAAATATCTTAGCTCCCTCTACTAATTTTCGTTCTCTTAGTCTCCTCTCTTGTTTTTATTTTTTTTTTAGGCTCCTCTCCTGATCTCATTCTCTTAGTCTCCTCTCCTGATCTTAATTTTGTTAGTCTCCTCTCCTGATTTTAGTTTTCTTAGGCTCCTCTCCTGATTTTAATTTTTTTAGGCTCCTCTCCTGATTTTAATTTTTTTAGGCTCCTCTCCTGATTTTAATTTTTTTAGGCTCCTCTCCTGATTTTAATTTTTTTAGACTCCTCTCCTGCTTTTTAATCTTAGGCTCCTGTCCTGATTTTAATTCTCTTAGGCTCCTCCCCTGCTTTTATTTTTCTCTCTTCTCCTGCTTTTATTTCTCAGCAATTTGTAGCCAATTATCCAATTTTCCAGAAAAACTACACCAATAAATACGGTAATCCAACAGAAATTCCAATTACTAAAAAGCGCATAGGAACACCGCCGCCTGGTGACAGAGAAAAGGAATTGCATGTACGTTCTACATGAAATACTGCCACCTACTGTCGAAATACCGTAACTGCATTTAAAAAAAATCCTTACCTGCGCCACCTAGTGAACAAGAACCGCAATTGCAACTGGAAATTAATCGAACTGCTGCCACCTTGTGGACAACCAGGGAATTGCAGGTAAAAATAATTTTTAATAAAAATTAATAAAAATACATACAAAACCACCCAAATAACACCACAAACACACCTCCCAACACAAAAAAGACCACCCAAAAACCCCCCGTCACCCCTAGACCTACACGTGGACTTAGGCACAGAGAGAGGGTTACAGTCACAATTAGGCTTACAGTTAGATTTAGGGTTAGGGGTTAGAGTTAGGTTTAGGGGTAGTTTTAGGTGTAGCATTAGGGTTCAGGGTTACAGTTCGGTTTAGGGGTAGGTTTAGGTGTAGAACGAGGGTTCGGGGTTACAGTTAGGTTTAGGGGTAGGTTTAGGTGTAGNATCTGAGTACTCAGATTTGCCTCTGGGTTTTTTTTGCAGGAGATGTACACAGCCTGACAGGGCTGAAGCCAACTCACAGTGAGGTGATAGACACGGTTTGGTCCCCTCGGGCTGTCCCTGTAGGTCATCTCCGAGTATTGAAAAGATGAGCAACAAAGCACTGAGCTTTTTTGATTGCAGGTGCCATCCGGGTAACCTTTGGGAGCAGATGAGCATTGGAGGTGAGTTGGGGAGGCAGCAGGAGGAGCAGGGATCCACTGCAGCTTCAGAAATGCTCTCCAATTGTGTCTCTCTCTCGCTCAGGTATCCCAGAAGATGACAGCACATTGTCCAAGTGTGGTCAGAGCCAGCGACCCGAGGACCTGCCTTGGTGACAGTGAGTAGAGGGATCATGGGGGCTGGGTCCACGTGCCACACTACTGAGATATGGTGTCTGGTTTTCTTTCTCGCAGTGGACTCCCAGTACTATCACGACGACAGGAACGTCTGAGCCAACCCAGGTGCCCCTCCTGTGCATCAAAGATAGGTTGGCATGCCCGGCTGTCGGCAAGATAAGTGCAGGGCAAAGACCCAGAGAGGGGCTGGGAGTTGGTGCAAGTCTGTGCATTGCCCGGAGGGGTTTTTGTAATTAGTGTGGTGCAAGAGGTACCCTGGCACAGGTTTTTTGGAGACATCAGAGGAAGGGCTTACTTTGTATCATTGGATTCCCGTGTGCAGGGCAGAGCAGTTCCAGTCTGTGTCATGTCCTTTGTCTCGTCCATGTTTTGTGTCCTTTGTCTCTTAATTGTGTCACATGGTGTGTGTCGTCACGGGTGCGGGGTGTCTCACTTGGGGTCAGCCTGGAACTGCTCTGCTCTGCCCTGCTCCGTGGATCAGTGGGTAGATGGAATAATGCTCAGTCTCCCATCACCCTGTCAGTTCCCTCAGGCAGTCGAGCCTATGGCTGTACGGTCCTGCCGGATGGAACAGGTGTCCAGAACTCGTGTGCCATCATCATAGCTGAGTGTTGTGGAGCTGGTGGTACTTGGATAGCAGGGCCTTGAAGCTGGGTTGTCGTTTGTATCCTTGTGTGCTGCAGTCAGAGTTCTCAGTCGCTCAGTGGAAATGAGTTCTTTGAAGTGGTTCAGGTCTCAGTGACCACGTGGGTGACCTGACTAACCTTTTGTTTTGTGTTTTTTTTCAGGTAAGTGGACACAGTGTACCCCAGACAGAGACAAGTTGAAGCAGCCGGGGAAGAAGGTTGTCTTGGGTGTTGGATGAAGGATGTCGGTTTTAGCCATAGGAGTCCTTTATCTTGTGCCTTTTTGTTCTTTATTTGCCAGATGGGCCCAATCGGTCTCGAGGGGTAGCGGCTCAGCGGGGCGACGAGCGAGGTGAGAATTTTATTCCCCAACCGAATTTGGAGTTAGTTTAGGATGTCATCTATGTGGCCAATCTATGCATATATGTTGTAACTGTTTAATTTCTTTTTTCTAGCCAATACACAACCCTTTGCCCGTCTGCTGAAGGGGCCAAAGGTCTATCTGCTCAGAGGTCAAGCTGAAGGAGCCCGAGACAGCCAGTCTGAGGCAGTACGTCAGCACAAGCCTCCGGATCCATGTTGTCTTGCAGCGGCCGTCTGTCCACTCCACGGTGTGTAGCAAGGCTTCGGCGTGCAGTCTGATGGGGTTGAGAGGTTTTCGGCTTTCCTTGTGAGCCATCCCTACATGTTTGAGAGCTGAGTGTTTGAGCCTTTCCCCCTTTCATTTGCGGGGGCGGTCTTGGGAGCAGCTGAAGAGAGAGGAGCCTTGTAGGTGAGTTGGGGAGGCAGCAGGAGGAGCGGGGATCCACTGCAGCTTTAGAGATGACGTCTAATTTTGTGTCTCACTCACTCAGGTATCCCGGAAGGTGACAGCCACAGTGTCGGACTCCGGTCAGGGCCTGGGTGCTGGTGAGTAGATGGATCACTGGGGTTTGACCCCCTTGCCATACAACTTACATATCGCTCATGGTTCTCTTTCTCATAGTTAACTTGGAGTACTCTCACGACGACAGGAACCTCTGAGCCAGCCCAGGTGTTCCTCCTGTGCCTCAAAGCTGGATTGGCATCCCCGGCTCTCGGCAAGATAAGTGCAGGGCAAAGACCCAGAGAGGGGTTGGGAGTGGGTGCAAGTCTGTGCATTGTCCGGAGGGATTTTTGAAATTAGTCTGGTGTGAGGGGTATCCTGGCACCGGTTATTTGGACACATCAAAGGAAGTACTTACTTTGTATCATTGGATTCCCGTGTGCAGGGCAGAGCAGTTCCAGTCTGTGTCACGTCCTTTGTCTTGTCCATGTTCTGTGTCCTTTGTCTCTTAATTGTGTCACATGGTGTGTGTCGTCACAGATACGGGGTGTTTCACTTGGGGTCAGCCTGGAACTGCTCTGCCCTGCTCCGTGGATCAGTGGGTAGATGGAATAGGACTCCGAGTGTCAGGTCAGCATGTCAGTTCCCTTAGACAGTGGAGCCGCTGGCTGTCCAGTGGGTGAGCAGGATGGTCTTGCAATGCTCTGGTTGGAAACTTGCTTTTAGTTCCCTTAGTCTCCTCTCCTCATTTTCTTCTCTTAGCCCCCTCTCCTGATTTTATTCTCTTAGCCCCCTCTCCTGATTTTAATTTTTTTTAGGCTCCTCTCCTGATTTTAATTTTTTTTAGGCTCCTCTCCTGTTTTTTATTGTCTCTAGGCTCCTCTCCTGATTTTTATTGTCTCTAGGCTCATCTCCTGATTTTTATTGTCTCTAGGCTCCTCTCCTGAATTTAATTGTTTTAGGCTCCTCTCCTGATTTCAATTTTTTTATGCTTTTCTACTGACTTTATTCTCTTCGTCTCCTCTCGTGGTTTTAATTTTTTTAGGCTCCTCTCCTGATTTTAATTTTTTTAGGCTCCTCTCCTGATTTTATTTCTCTTAGGCTCCTCTCCTGATATTTTTCTCTTAGGCTCCTCTCCTGATTATAATTTTTTTAGGCTCCTCTCCTGATTTTGATTCTCTTAGTCTCCTCTCCTGATTTTTATTCTTTTAGGATCTTCTCCTGATTTTAATTTTTTAGGCTCCTTTCCTGATTTTTATTGTCTTAGGCTCCTTTCCTGATTTTAATTTTTTAGTCTCCTCTCCTGGTTTTAATTTTTTTAGGCTCCTCTCCTGATTTTTTTCCTCTTCGTCTCCTCTCCTGATTTTATTTTTTTTAGGCTTCTCTCCTGATTTTTATTGTCTCTAGGCTCCTCTCCTGATTTTAATTTTTTTAGCCCCCTCTCCTGATTTTAATTTTTTTATCCCCCTCTCCTCATTTTATTCTCTTAGCCCCCTCTCGTGGTTTTAATTTTTTTTTGCTCCTCTCCTGATTTCAATTTTTTTACGCTTCTCTCCTGATTATAGTTCCCTTAAGCTCCTCTCTAGATTTTAATTTTTGTTAGGCTCCTCTCCTGATCTTAGTTCTCTCCGTCTCCTCTCTTGGTTTTAATTTTTTTAGGCTCCTCTCCTGATTTCAATTTATTTATGCTTTTCTCCTGACTTTATTCTCTTAGTCTTCTGATTTTTATTCTCTTAGTCTCCTCTCCTGATTTTAGTTCTCTTCGTCTCTTCTCCTGATTTTATTTTTTTTAGGCTCCTCTCCTGATTTTAATTTTTTAGTCTCCTCTCCTGGTTTTATTTTTTTTAGGCTCTTTTCCTGATTTTAATTTTTTTGGCTTCTCTCCTGAGTGTAAATTTTGTAGGCTCCTCTCCTCATTTTCATTTTTTTAGGCTCCTCTCTTTATTTTTTGTTCTCTTCGTCTCCTCCTGATTTCAATTTTTTAAGGTTCCTCTCCTAATTTTAATTTTTTTAGGCTCCTCTCCTAATTTTAATTTTTTTAGACTCCTTTCCTGATTTTAAATTTTTTAGTATCATCTCGTCATTTTTATTCTCTTAGACTCCTTTCCTGATTTTATTTTTTTTTAGGCTCCTCTCCTGATATTGATTCTCTTAGTCTCCTTACCTGATCTTATATTTTTTTTTTGCTTCCTCTCCTGATTTCAATTTTTTTACGCTCCTCTCCTGATTTTAGTTCTCTTAAGCTCCTCTCTAGATTTTAAGTTTTTTTAGGCTCCTCTCCTGATTTCAATTTTTTTATGCTTTTCTCCTGACTTTATTCTCTTAGTCTCCTCTTCTGATTTTTATTCTCTTAGTCTCCTCTTCTGATTTTTATTCTCTTAGTCTCCTCTTCTGATTTTTATTCTCTTAGTCACGTCTCCTGATTTTAGTTCTCTTCGTCTCCTCTCCTGATTTTAATTTTTTTACTCTCCTCTCCTGATTTTTATTTTTTTAGTCTACTCTCCTGATTTTATGGTTTTTTTTTAGGCTCCTTTCCTGATTTTTATTGTCTTAGGCTCCTTTCCTGATTTTAATTTTTTAGTCTCCTCTCCTGGTTTTTATTTTTTTAGGCACTTCTCCTGATGTTAATTTTTTTTGGCTCCTCTCCTGAGTGTAAATTTTTTAGGCTCCTCTCCTCATTTTCATTTTTTTAGGCTCTTCTCTTGCTTTTTTGTTCTCTTCGTCTCCTCTCCTGATATAATTTTTTTAGGCTCCTCTCCTGATTTCAATTTTTTTAGCCCCCTCTCCAGATTTTATTTTTTTTAGGCTCCTCTCCTGATTTCAAATTATTTATGCTTTTCTCCTGAGTTTATTCTCTTCGTCTCCTCTCCTAGTTTGAATTTTTTTAGTCTCCTCTCCTGGTTTTAATTTTTTTAGTCTCCTCTCCTGATTTTAATTTTTTTAGGCTCCTCTCGTCATTTTTTTTTTTATTAGGCTCCTCTCTTGATTTTAGTTCCCTTAGTCTCCTCTCCTGATTTTATTCTTTTAGGCTCCTTTCCTGATTTTTATTCTCTTAGGCTCCTCTCCTGATTTTAATTTTTTAGTCTCCTCTCCTGGTTATAATTTTTTTAGGCACTTCACCTGATGTTAATTTTTTTTGGCTCCTCTCCTGAGTGTAAATTTTTTAGGCTCCTCTCCTCATTTTCATTTTTTTAGGCTCCTCTCCTGCTTTTTTTTTCTCTTCGTCTCCTCTCCTGATTTCAATTTTTTTATGCTTTTCTCCTGACTTTATTCTCTTAGGCTCCTCTCCTGATTTCAATTTTTTTATGCTTTTCTCCTGACTTTATTATCTTAGTCTCCCCTTCTGATTTTTATTGTCTTAGTCTCCTCTTCTGTTTTTTATTCTCTTCGTCTCCTCTCCTGTTTTTTATTCTCTTAAGCTCCTCTCCTGATTTTTATTCTCTTAGGCTCCTCTCCTGATTTTTATTCTCTTAGGCTCCTCTCCTGATTTTTATTCTCTTAGGCTCCTCTCCTGATTTTTATTCTTTTAGGCTCCTCTCCTGATTTTTATTCTTTTAGGCTCCTCTCCTGATTTTAATTTTTTTAGGCTCCTCTCCAGGTTTTAATCTTTTTGGCTCCTCTCCTGCCTTTTATTCTATTAGTCTCCTCTCCTAATTTTATGGTTTTTTTAGGCTCCTTTCCTGATTTTTATTGTCTTAGGCTCCTTTCCTGACTTTAATTTTTTAGTCTCCTCTCCTGGTTTTAATTTTTTTAGGCTCCTCTCCTGATTTTCATTGTCTCTAGGCTCCTCTCCTGATTTTAATCGTTTTAGGGTCCTTTCCTGATTTTAGTTCTCTTAGTCTCCTCTTCTGATTTTAATTTTTTTAGGCTCCTCTCCTG